CTCGAAGGAGCAGTCGGTGGTGTATCGACCGCAGCGTCTGATAGTGGCCGCTGAGTGGTGACCATGTCATGCAACCGTACAGCAGTGCCTCCATCGCCTTCGCCTGGAGCAGGCGGATCTTGGGTCGGAATGGCGCTTGCGGTCTGTCGAAGAGCTCCCGCCCATATCGCCTGAGGCACGCCCACGCTCCTCTGCTCCTGTAGTCTCCCGGGTGAGGTCGCCATGTTCGTTGACGAGGCCACCGAGGTACCGGAACTCGGTCGTCTGGGCGTATTTCTGTCCCGCGGCTTCGATGGTCAGTGGTGGAGGCGGGGCGGGCTGTGATGTTGTAGTCGGCTTGTCTTCTGCGCGCATCAGGAGCGTCTCCGCCTTCTTCTCCGACACCTTTAGACTGCGCTTCACCGAAGGAGCGGGGCGGTCATGAATTTTCGTGAAGCAAGCTGCCACCTACTTTGTCTACTTTCGTCGGCGGTAGTTGGAATGGACTAGCAGCAGGAAGAGCAACAGCAAGGTGTGTCTATTTTATGCTCGGTCNGGTCAGTGGTGGAGGCGGGGCGGGCTGTGATGTTGTAGTCGGCTTGTCTTCTGCGCGCATCAGGAGCGTCTCCGCCTTCTTCTCCGACACCTTTAGACTGCGCTTCACCGAAGGAGCGGGGCGGTCATGAATTTTCGTGAAGCAAGCTGCCACCTACTTTGTCTACTTTCGTCGGCGGTAGTTGGAATGGACTAGCAGCAGGAAGAGCAACAGCAAGGTGTGTCTATTTTATGCTCGGTCCTCGTCCTAGACTCGTCTGCTGTACATCATTTACACACATGCACGCTGTCCTGCTGTACCCGCAAGCTACACTTTCTGCAGGGTAGACTTGCGGAACAATCGGCCAAAAAGGCCATGCGACACAGCCCTTTCTCTATGGTACATTTGTGTAGTTAGCAGTCTGAACTACTGTACTCTACTCTAGCTAGTAGCTAGACCAGACCATGCTAGACCACAGCCAGCGTCGACTTCGGCAACATGGAACAGGTGCGAGGGCGCACAGCACAGGTGAGTAAGAGCACAGCAGTACATACGTTCACCAACGCCCCGTATCTTTGAAAATTCGGCCGCACACCAGAACTCCGCGAGATGTTGACATGCCATCTTCGCGGTCTTTCCCCCAGGAGCTCGCACACTGCAGCTTCTACTGATACCCACACTATTAGTCTAGACTAGACTAGTCAACAATTACATCCTTACCTGTCTCGTCCGTGTTGTGCACGTGGTCGGCCTCCGGCTTGTGCTCGTCGAGGAGAGCTGCCCGCTTCTTGTAGAACTCGACGATACGAGGCAATTTGTCCTAGTCGTGCGCTCCGACACCCGTGGGTGCCTCTTGAGGAAGCCAGCTAGCCAGTCCTTCCCCGGACCCTTATCTGGATCCCAAGGGATCGGGCGACCGTCTTTCCACAGCTTTCTAATGGTTTCCAGCAGGTGCAGCCGACCCACAGCCAAGCAGTGACGACCAGCGTACAGCAGAACATCTTCAAGAAATTTTTCCTCTTCTTCGCTAAGGACAGTCGCGGGACCAACTTTTGCTGTCATGGCCACCGCGCCATCGAGGCGGCCACCAGTCTAGCCCAGAGCCTATATAATAGAGACCTCTCGGATCTTCATGCCACCTCTAACTGCTTCACATGCCTTCCGAGCTTGCTCTGGGTCCACCTGGCGGCGGCCCATGCTTATCAGCAAAACCAGCAATAGACCGAAGATGGCTCGCATCGGCGGCGGGTGGTGCTGCTGCTGCTGTATCTCGTCGCTGGATGCTCTGATTGCGACGCTGAAGTGCTCAAACGAAAGCTCTCGTCTCTCCGCGAATTTCAAAAACAAGTTCTTGGGGCTCCGTGACTGTATCAATGAGATACCCCCATTTGAAAAAAATGTGGTTGTTATTACTACCCGCGGGTGGTTGTTAATACCTGCCGCTACTCTATGGGATTTGTAGCATCTCACCAAAGGCGGATGAATACACCCACATCGTCGCGACTACTCTGTAGTGCATTGCCATGATATCTGCGTGCTGTCGTCGAAAGTGGTCGAATCAGAGACAAGAGTGTGGGGCTTCGAGTTAGCTGGTTCACAACAGCAGTGTGACAGCCATGCCGGCCTATTCCTCGTGCTGCTACGCTCTGATTGGTTGGTTTGTGGAAATATCGCCTCCAGAAAAGCGATGAACTCCCCCAGACTTTTGAAAAATTTCAAATAATCTCCATCCGCGTACCCCCCGCGCGCGACCTGAGCGACGAAGCTTGTGCGCTTGTTTGTTCAGTTTGCTTGCCTACAGTAGGTCTGCGATACCTGCTACAACCAGGCGCAGAACCTCAAGCTGTCCTATCGAACGACAGGCGAAGCTACAGCAGGTGTGTGTCGACTCCGTCGGCGTTGGTGTATGCTTGTCTATGGACCACGATAGTTGAGTCAACTGCCAACTTCAGCGTTTCTTGAAACGTGCGCAACACTAACGGCAACCATCATCATCGCCTCGCTTCATCAGCTGCAGTAGCAGGGCTGCGGCAGCAGCGAGGACGGGTCGGGCACTATACGATAGCGACGAAGCGTCACAGGGTGACACCCTAGCAGTAGGAGGTTGTCGAAAACGTTGGCCTTTTGGTGCTAAGGGAAGGAAGATGGAGCAGCAGTTCGATGTGTTGCAGACGCTTGGAAGGGGCAGCTTCGGGGTGGTGAGAAAGGTACGGCGGAAGGCCGACGGCAAGACGCTGGTGGTCAAGGAGATGGACTACGGCGCGGCGGACGAGAAGCAGAAAGAGCAGATCGTGGCCGAGGTGAGTTCATCGATTGAGCAAGGAGAGAGGCACACAGCTACAAGCTACTAGCAGGTTCGTTCTATTGTACGTCGTTTACGTTCTTCAATTCAAAAAATAGTGTCCAACCTCTCTTTCGTAGATGTACCATAGGTCGTGCTTTTTCAGCAAGAGAACCAGGCCGACACCGCTCTATGCATTTTGCGTTGTTTTGTACAACCGAGCCGGCACGAGGCACAAGGGACATTGCTGCTCTCTCTCTGTTCCCCTGCCTATTTCTCTCTTTCTCGCTCCCATACTCTTTCCTTTATCCCGGCAGCTGTTTTCAACTGGAAATGTTCTGTACAACCAACTTTGATGCTCCCTCCCCAAGTGGGCAGCAGACCCATGAAATGAATCTCAAACCCAACTGCCGTCTTTGTAGCCGCCCAATCAACGCACTGATTTACACGGTGCGTTCAACAGCACAGTAAATTGAGCGTTGGCGTGCTGACGGTATTGCCCCTTGGCAGCAACACCCGTGTCCTGAATACATGAATACATGCGTTACCAGATACATAGAAAGTATATAGTCTACGTACAATCCGTACAACCGATGGTTAGTAGTCTATGTTTGGGTCGTCAGGATAAGGGCCTCGTGTTTGGTCGCCCAACACGCAACCAACTGCCTGCATGCTCTGCCGAAACCAGCCGTTGTACTTTTTCCATGCTGCCCAGAGCACAGAGTGCTGCACATTATGATGTGCACTGATGTGCATTCGTACGTATGCATGTACAAGTACAGAGCGGGCTGGGCAACATGGAAGTGTTTGAATATTTCGTTGAGAAACGGAACCTCAAAGTATCACGAAAAGATACACGCATTGTTCATACAATAGCTCGGCCGAGGGCCCTATGCTAAAAACTCAATACAACAGCCTGTACTGGACGGAACTTGAGCCTCGATCCGATATTGACGTTTATTATCTGCGGGTACGCACGCAAGCCTAGAATCCGTTCAACTTGCTCTCCCTTCTTGTAGCACCAGTCTTCCATTCTTTGTCTTGCGGACTGTGACCATGGGGGAAGGCGGCCGTGTTCAGTTGGACCGGCACGAGAAGGTGCTGAGCAGAGCACAGACCAGAACGTTTTTTATATCATCACAGCATTTTTCTTTACAAGGGAAGTGAGACCCTTGTCTTCGCAACGGGGTACAAGAAAGAACCGTCCCCGCGTCGTGGAGAGGGCGAAGAAACACATTATTTTACGGAATAGGCAGAAGAGGGTACGCTGTATGGCAGACTGTTCCCTCTTGTCATGACTAACGTCAATTGGAGTAACAATAGGTGGCCATTCCTCTTGCCATGCTATCGTTTACCGATGATAACAACAACAGGTGAATATTCTACGCGAGCTGCGGCACCCTTTCATCGTGCGCTACTACGACCGCATCGTGGATCGGAGGAGGACTCGGCTGCACATCGTCATGGAGCACTGCAGCACCGATCTAGCCAGGGTCATCAAGACGAGGAGGCTCAGGGGGTGAGAGTCCTTTTCTTTTCTGAAGCCAATAAAAATGAAACACGAAGGAAACAAGAGTCATGTTGTGTCCTCTGCTCCGTTTGTTTTCGATCACTTACACATCATGTAGAAAGCATTGGCTTATCGCATGACGCCTCCTGTCATGGCAAAATGATCAATTGTGAGTCGATATTTGATCTACCAACTGCGGGTCGGTGGACTTTAGAATGGATTGTGCATTCACCTCCGGAACGTCTGTCGAGGATACAGTTCCCTCGTGTCACGCTGGCGGGGTCGCTGTGTTATGTCTGATTTTGCATTCAGAGATACCCCCCCCCTCCTGCCGCATGCAAGGAAGTAGGCAGAAGATGCCGAACACCCTTAAAAGGATGCCACGCACCCTCGCCGGACACCTCACGGCCCTTCGCGCTTGGTGATATGATAGCATGATCCGGTGAAAACCCGGCGTGCTCCGTAGGGATGCGAGGTCAATGGCCTAACGGCAACGGCATGCGTTTTCATGAGTACAACCTCCCCCCTTCCCGCGCGCGCGCCGGTCTGCGCACCCCCTCCGTCCCTCCCCCCCTCCGTTACCTGCCTTTTTTGCCCGGCATGCAGGGAGTACTTGGACGAGTCGTTCCTGTGGAACCTCATGTGCCAGGTGGTGGTGGCTCTCGAGTTTTGCCACGGCCGTGTGGGGAAGGAAGGTTCGAGGAGGCCGATCATCCACCGAGACCTCAAGCCCGACAACGTCTTCCTCACCAGCGACAATGTTGTCAAGGTAAAACACGTCTGGCAGCGTTGACGGTTTTAGCGTTGTCAAGGTCAAAACGTCTGGCAGCGTTGTCAATTTTCGCGCGCCACTTTTTGGGTTAGACTAAACGACGAAATGGTTGTCCACGGCTCTATTTTTCGGGTCGTGTTGGGGACATTTTCGCAGGGAGGGTGAGCGTGAGGTGAGGGCTTTCGGAAGAGTTTTCTTGAACCGCCCTTGGTCGGCGCCCCTATGTTGTATCGCGCTGCGGACTAATGTCTTTTGATGAGGTGTGCGACAGACGGGAGAGGAGGCCTTCCCGCTTGTTCCTCCCATTGCCCGAGGCGTGTTGCCCCATGCGTCGAGCATCAACAAGCTCGTGTCTGTCCATAGTTTTTTGTTCTTTTTTCTTGAAAAATTGGCGATGAGTTAGTTCATGGTGTTTCGTGACTTACATGCTGTGTTTCTGCCACGTTTCCTGGCATAACATACTTTTTCCCCCAAACAAGAAATGCCTGCCAACAGACGTCAAGCAAGCTTCAAGAATCACGCCTGTTTACCTGCTCCTTATCCTCTTTGTTTTTCTATTTTTTGTCCTGCGCAAACACGCAAGTTGGGAGACTTCGGGCTGGCGAAGGAGCTCAGCGGCGCGCAGCTAGCAGAGACCAGCGTGGGCACGCCGTACTACATGTCCCCCGAGCTGATCAACGAGCAGCGTTACGACGAGCGCACCGATGTCTGGTCCCTCGGCTGCTTGATGTACGAGGCAGCGGCACTCACGTGAGCAGTAAGGCTGCTGTTTACAGGTTTTTTCATTTTTTCGTAGTGGTTCGTTGACGTTCGCTGGGCTCTTCGAGTCCAAAACATCACGTCAGCTTTGTTTCGTGCCTGGGAAGCGTCACCGATGGCAGTTGATTTACACCAACACATGCTCTACTTTGATGTTGCAAAGACGCCTTCATGACATTTTTTGCTCTGCTCTCATGAGCCAACTCCGGAGGCAACTCCGGAGGCGCACCGTGTACAGTAGTACTCTTGTGTACTAAACTCCGTGGTCGTGGTACGGTGTTTCCTGCTAGCGGACGGGGACTTGTTTGGGTGTTTTGATGGGGGTGGGGTTTGACGGGAGCTGGTCTGCTTGTTTGAGGCCTTTACGCTATATGTAGCGCGACCGAACTGCGGTGTGATTTTTCGCCTCCAAGGCTTGTTTTACCGTCGGGACACCCTCCCTTTCCTCGGTTCAAGCGCACTTTTCTCCCACCAGTGCTCTTGGTGGCCACGGCAGTTTCCAAGTCTGTTGGTTCCATGCCGTCATCACTGAACTTCTACCGTACCGTAGTGCAAGAATATACCATACGAGGCGGAGGGAGAGATGGCACCCCCCTTGGACCGACTTTCAAAGCTCGATCGCTCCACAACCAAGTGGTGCGGAACATCTACGGCGATCCCTCGACGCGATGTGGTTTCAAGTCCACTATTTGTTTGTCTGTGCTGGCAAAAGCCGGAGGTTGGCGCAACCTTTCTCTTCCGGGGCACGTGCACACATGCATGCAGCCGTAGTAGCTCCAACCACACCCGGCCTGACGAGGCGCGACTCGTGGAACCATGTGTGTGGGGTCGCGTTTTTTTCTCCTGTGGCTGCAGCGCATAGTCGACGTAGGATGGTATGTGTGCCGAACCGTGGTGTTTTGTGTGTCTTGTCGTGTGCTTGTTGTTGTATTGCTCGTCTGTTTGTTGTTTTTAAGCAGGCGCCCTTTTGATGCGCACACGATCAAACAGCTGACCTGTTTTTGAACCGTGGTATGCATATGTATGATCCCGTGTGCTTGTTGTTGTATCGTTTGTCTGTATTTTTTGTTATGACAGGTGCCCTTTTGATACTCACAAAACCAACCAGCTGAGCTGTTATTGAACCGTGGTATGTATGACTTCGTGTGCTTGCTGTATCGTTTTGGCTTTTTTTTTTTTCTGTTATGGCAGGCGTCCTTTAGATGCGCACGCAACCAACCAGCTGACCTGTTTTTGAACCGTGGTTGCATGCCTTCCCTCGTTTGCTTGTTAATGCATCGTTTTTCTTCTTTTCTTCTATTTTTTGGCAGGCGCCCTTTTGATGCGCACAACCAGCTGGCCCTGGCGATGAAAATCAACACCAGCAAGGTGGCGCCGATCCCTTCTCGCTACTCCCTCGACCTGTTCGCCACTATCGAGTGGATGCTCAGTAAGACGGTCAGTGCACGTGTGTTTCTTACATTAGCATCGACCGCGCTAACCGGCTGACCAATGACAAGACGTCAGTCTCTCGCTGGAGTTAGGATACTTTTTTTGCTTCGGGACTGGCTCGGTAAGGGATCAGGCTGCACTCCCTCGAATGGTGTTGTACCGCTAGCACGGACAGTAATGCCTAGCCAGTTAAAAAGATGCAAACGCAACCGTTCGTCGCGCCGTGCGTGTTGAGTAGGCCCGAAACACGATGTCGGTGGACGAAGGACGAGCGTGCGTGAGCCTAAGCCTGAGCTTGACTGAAAGTCTTTTTTGTGCTGGATACCATGTTCTGGTTTGGATGTTGTAGGGCTGAGGAACTGCAGCCACTACCAGCCTTTCACAAGAGCGTTTTGTCCTAGTTTGCCCCGTCCTAACCCTCGACACGAACACAAACAATCCTAACGCTAGTACTAACGCCAACACAAACCCTAACCCTAACCCTCACACTAACACTCCTATAACTAGTACTATCCCCAACACAAACGCTATCCCTAAGACTAACACTCCTAATACTAGAACTACCGGCAGCACAAACACAAACATTAATCTTAACCCTACCACGACGCCCTGGTGATTGTATCCGCACCGCCACCGCTATCACCACTGCTATTGCCTCTTACGAAATCCCTTCGTCTGAACGCCTGCCGCCGACCAATCACACCGATGCAATAAAAAAAACAGCGGCACAAGCGGCCTCGGATGGAGGACCTCGCCAAGGTGCCGGGGCTACAGCTGCCCCTCCGAGAAAACCGCCTCCTCGTACAGGAGTTCCAGCTCGAACAAAGGTAGGCCTTGCCTTGCCTTGCCTTGCCTCGCGACAGTTACCTTGTACTGGTACCACCTGTGGTCGCGTTAGATACCGCACCCGTTGCTACCGGTGTTCAAAACTCGATTACTACTCCGCAGAAGCAGCAGTGACGGTGGCTAACGGTGTCGAAAGATTAAAAAAAATCGTGTTGTATCTTTCGGCTTTGGCACCCTCTTCGTCGTGGAGTAATCGACCGTTTTTACTTTTGTTGTTGTTGTTGCCCATGGTGAAAATTGTGTAGAGAGCGGTCGGGTCACAGGCGGCGTGCGTTCTATGCGTGCATGGTTCAATCCACCTTTGCTCCTCTCCCCCATCCCTATGCGTACAGAACCCCCTCTCGATGATCCTACGATCCTTTAATGAAGCACGGCTCCTCGCGTCCTTCAACGGTACAATACGAAGGTGTATATGCCGATTTTGGCAACAAGTCAGATCTCCTTTAACCTTGGGAATCCGGTCCTCCTCAATAACAACTCCTTAAC